TCATGTAATTTATTTCATTTCTATTTTTTCAAACAAATTGTAAGTTGTTCTTAATCCATACGAAACAGTGACAAGATTCTCATTGTATCATGAAATAAGTTCATTGTCAAATATAAAAATTGGTGATTGGCATCAGAAGGTTGGGAAGGAATTTGAAAGCATAACAAATAAAACACAACAACAAAATTTGTCAATACACATAAATTAATATGTTTCACACATCAAAACTATTTTGTAACAAGACTAGAAGAAATTTTGTTTAAAAAACAAAAATTTTAAAAAATAAAAACTGTTCTGGCCTGGGCCCCGGCCTTAACTCGCGGCCCAGCCCAATGATACACGACCAAGGCCCAATATGATATAAGTAGGATGGTCGGGCACGCGACCCCTCGACAGGCAGGGCATGCTCCCGCCGAGCAAGATAGCGTGCCCCAAGACGCCCTCTGTGCCCTCCCTTAGTCGGGCAGAATCCCCATGTCGTCGGACAGGGTAACATGCCTCTCCCACGCCCTCGTGTGCTCCCCTCTGCAGGGAGAACAACACACCTTCGAGGAACCTCGCGAGCTCCCGCCCGCAGGGAGATCAACGTGTCATTCGCATGTTCTCCACGTGCTCCCCTCCGCGGGGACACGTCATCCCCCAACTGCCCACCTCCGAAAGAGCAGGTCAAACCCACTTATCGGAGACCACGGGACAGTTGGACTAGGGAGAAGACCACGTCCTGGTCTTCACTACGCCACGTAAGCCCTAGCAGTCACCAGGGTTGGGCCTGGCAATCCAGCCCAACACAAGTGACCGTTGGCCCAACGCTGAGGTCTTTCTATAAATACCCTCTTCCACAAGAGGGTCAGGTAATTCACTTCTTACCCCTTTTCTGTACTTTGCTCTCACTCTGCTCAATTCCTTACTTTGGCATCGGAGTGTCTTGCAGGTACATCCCTCTTCTCCTCTTTATCACCGGTGAACAGGTAGTAGTCCAACAGAGTGTGGCCAGCCCGTGATCCCCTCCTGATCAGGTCAGATCAGTGGCACCGTCTGTGGGAACAGAAACTTCCCCGTTACTCCGAGCAGAGAACCAAAGTTTCACCAACACTCCACGATCATGGATAGCCCACGCCGCAACGATACCGTGCACGACATCATGCTCAACGTTGCCGCAAACGGCGGCAAGCAAACGGAGACGTCGCGCCCAGCAGAGACCGACGAGAGAGACGGCCAGACTGCATCTCCGTCGTCCGTAGAACCGACACACCAGGCCATCCACCGGCCCCAAAGCCCAGCAGCGTTCCAACCTGTTCCCGTCCCGGCTGGAGCGCACCCAACGGTGGTCTCCCTCTTCGCGGCCATCAACCAGACGAACCAGCTATTGTTTCAACAGAACACACGGATTGGAGCGCTAGAACGCGATGCCCCGTTGAGGTCCCCCCCGCGGGAAGACCAGAACGGTAACTCGAGGAGTCGTTCGCCTTAACCCAGACATCAACGACCTCGGCTGGAGAGGCCCCAACCCGAAGCAGTACGGGAGCGGACAAGGTCCCCGAAGAGACAAGTTCGTCAGAGACGACAAGCCAGAGCAGGGGCCCCGACCGGGCCTCCCTGCATCGACCCCCCAATCAGGAGGCCGAGGACCCGAAACCAGGTGCCTCTGCCAAATGGATTGTCCCCCCCTTGGTCACCCGCTCTCAGCGACGAAGATGACTACAGGACTCCCTTATCCCGTTAAATCATGGCCGCCCCCATCCCCCACAGGATGGAGAAGCCCCCGACGCTCTCGACATACGACGGCACCTCCGACCCAGACGATCACCTGGAAGACATTGAGGCCATGCTCGACTAACGAAATGTTCGAGGGGCTATCAAATGCAGACTATTCCCGACAACCCTGAGGAAGGGTGCCATGACGTGGTACAAAAGTTTCGAGCCAGAATCGGTTACATCATGGAGGGTCCTGAAAGACCTGTTTTCAAAATACTTCACAGCATCCCGACGCCATCCGAAGACGGAAGCCGCACTCGGCGCTATAATCCAAGCTCCCGACGAGCCTCTACGGAAGTACATCGAAATCTGCACGCGGGAAGCAATGCAGGTGACTACGTCAGACGAGATGAAGCGTTACCTAATGGAGCAGGGCCTGCGTCGCGACTCCAAATTCTAAGAGGCCGTGGGCATACATCGGCCAGCCTCCCTACAGGACTTCCTCGACAGAGTCGCACATTACATCCGGTTCGAGGAAACCCAAGCAGCCAACTCCGCCCGAGACACGTGAGACAGAGAAGCCCCCCACCGAGAGGACGGAGCTTCAAGCCACCGGCACGGAGGTGATCGCCGACAGGAGGACCGCCCCTGCGACCAACGCGATCAACGCGGTCCCGCCGACCGATTCACGGAGTATACCGCCCTAGTCGCTTCCCGCGAGCGCATACTGGCCGAATGCGCCAAGACCGAATTCGTCCAGGGAGGTGTCCGCTTCCCCAGACCGACACCCCCCAAACCTACACGGGAAACAACTAGCTCGATCATGGAACGCCGAGAAGCTGAAGCGGTACTACAGTTAAAAACTGCCCGCGACGCCAAGACGTCACGACCACTGGGGGCGACATGGTACCACTGCACCTCCTCGCATCTTCTAAAGACCAACGAAAAAGCAAGCCCTGCCTTTGTGTGCGCGGGTAGAAGGCTCTGCTCGGCGGGGAACACCTCGATCGAGATCCCTCGTCGTCGTACCAGTACAGGCAGGACACCCAGCTCGCGATGGGATGTCCACGTCGCGGGGAAAACTACCCCCGAAGCAGTCACGCAGCAAAGGCGACCAACCGGCCAGTTCCCCACACTGCCGGAAACAATTGTCGTCGAGTTACTACCCCGGACGGGTCCGAAAACACACATACATTTCAAACATATAAACATATATTTCGAGCATACGAACAAACATGCAGAAACAAAACCGAGCGCACACTTAGAAAAATCTCAAGAATTACAAAAACTACGGGCATGCAGGCCCAGAAACTACGGGCACGCAGGCCCGGGGAAAGTCTACACAACCTCGCTACCTTCTTCCCCGAAGCAACGTTCTCAAGTCCTCGCTCTTCCACCGAAGAGCTTCGACTTGGGGGGCTCCTGTTCTAGCCTGGGCCCCGGCCTCAACTCGCGGCCCAGCCCAATGATACACGACCAAGGCCCAATATGATATAAGTAGGATGGTCGGGCACGCGACCCCTCGACGGGCAGGGCATGCTCCCGCCGAGCAGGATAGTGTGCCCTAAGACGCCCTCTACGTCCTCCCCTAGTCGGGCAGAACAGCCCTCCGCGGGGAGAACAACACACCTTCGAGGAACCTCGCAAGCTCCCCCCCCCCCCCCCCCCCCCCCCCGCGGGGAGATCAACGTGTCATTCGCATGTTCTCCACGTGCTCCCCTCCGTGGGGACACGTCATCCCCCAACTGCCCACCTCCGAAAGAGCAGGTCAAACCCACTTTTCGGAGACCACGGGACAGTTGAACTTGGGCGAAGACCACGTCCTAGTCTTCACTACGCCACGTAAGCCCTAGCAGTCACCTGAGTTGGGTCTGGCAATCCAGCCCAACACAAGTGACCGTGGGTCTCTCTATAAATATCCTCTTCCACAAGAGGGTTAGGTAATTCACTTCTTACCCATTTTCTGTACTTTGCTCTCATTCTGCCCAATTTCTTACTTTGGCATCGGAGTGTCTTGCAGGTACACCCCCTTCTCCTCCTCATCACCAATGAACAGGTAGCAGTCCAAGAGAGTGTGGTCAGCCCGTGATCCCCTCCTGATCAGGTCAGATCAAAAACTAATGAAGAAAACTTGAACACGAAAGAAACAATCATAACATATCAGAATGATGGTATAGAGAGCAACAATGGTGGCTAGGGCAAGAGCCATTAATTCTATGTTTTGAAATTTGGTTCTAAATGTGTATTTTACTTAAAGGAAGAAAACGTAAACAAAGATAGAGAATAGTTGAATGAATACAAAATTTGAATTTAATGATGGCTAAAATAAAATATTTATGGCATATTGGTCCGGTTCATCAGTTTAGTAGTTCTTAAAATCTAAAACTGAAAATAAGCATGGCAACGGGACAAGTCGAAGACGGGTTTAAACAGCCCCGCACCCGCACCCGCCTCCCTAAAACAGACCTGCCCCTGCATCTGCACCAGTCGAGAGTAAAAAGTTAGATTTTACCCGCACCCAATTAAATTATCAATTTAATTAATTTTTTCTAATCCTCTTACAACCCTAAATACTTATATTACTAATTGTGCTGAGAAAAGTGCTACTAATTACTAAGCGCGTGAATAAAATAATTACTAAGGAATAAAGACATTGAGGACCAGATTGTTTCAACTTTTTTTTAGAAATGATTTGTGTTACATAAAAATGTTTTGGCTCACTGCTCTTTTTCTATAGAGCTTGCTTTGTAAAATTTAAATCTGCTTTTTTTCTACAGAACCCTACTTGTAAGATACATGAAAACAATTCAACTTCAATCTTTGCAAAGATCAAATCAAGATGGCATTAACGAATAACTTTCTATATATTGCAATAACAATCAACGGGAAAACCCCTACTTGCAAGCCATTTCACATAGCAAATAACGCCCTGGTTTTACTGCAAACAAACAGCAAAGCTGCATAATTGCTAAAGACAATACCTAACTAACGAAAGAAAAAAGGTTATCATATACAGAAAGCCGATTCTCAAAAACGTGAAAGATCACCTCTCCTATTATTCTTTCTGGAGCTTTTACATAATGCCAAAGTTTATATGAGAACATAAGGTGAACTTGTGTTAACCAAGCCTTGACTGACATTGAAGACCCTCTCAGTTAGAAAATATTAGGTTCATGCATTCCAGCTCTGGAAGGGAAAACTCCAAATCCCAAATGTTGCAAAGTAATCAAATGAATAACACACCTCGAATTGAACTACTTGGACCAACGAAACTACTTGGACTAGCGAGTTCGTTTAGCTATAGCTTATGTATCAAGCGTGGGATAAAAACCTGAGGCGGATTGTTTCCCATTTCCATTGGAATCTGCATTAGCATAAAACGGAGATTGAAGTTCCCCAGAATGAGAAGACCTTTTCGATTTAGGGTGCTTAGGAGAAGCTCCATAATAATCTCCAATATTACTTGATGAATACATTGATGATGTTGGTAGTCCATGAATTTTGGGTAGACCAGTTGTTTCAGGTAAACTGTATCCTCTTTCAAGTGTTTCAGCTTCCATGGGCAGCTCCTCCAAGTCCTACAGAGAATAAAATACAGTCATCACTCATCAGAGAGTAACTATACTTTGTTTCCACTACCAGTTTGTTTAGGTTAAGTTGAGCGCACCGAATGAAAACCAAATATAATGCATACATATATAATGCACAGTTAAAAGAGCTGACATTTGCACAATGTCAGAGCAAACAATTTAAAACTACGGGATAACCAAACACCACAAAATAATTAGCTAAAGTATTATGATTATCCACCTTAAATGCTTGCTGATACGCTCGGAGAAGTTCTCTACATCGCTTTCTTTTCAAGGCTACCTCATCAGGTTCTTGTAGCATCTCTTCAAACAGGTTATCTCTGGTTTGAGTGTAACATAAAAAGTACAATCAGCAAGAAACATTGAAGAAACTACATCAGAATGAATTAACAAGCCATAACCACCATTATATTTTACCTGTATAGCTTTTTAATGAAGACATTGTGTAGCTCTCTCTTGGTGTTGTTTACCTGATATGAATCAGTAAAAGACAGTCATAAGGATTTACGGAATGCATGAAAATTCAAGCATTTTCAACCATTTAGAATTAAATAGCACAAAGCATATGGTAAAATAACATGAAAATTAATAAAAGCACTAACATCCCTCCCCCTACCCTCTACACGGGGAGAAAAAAAAAATGTCAATACGTTAACGATGGGGGCATGGGAGAAAGTGAAATGGTGGTATTCAGTAGAGACAAAAACCCTGGATTTGGTGTTTATAATAATGATTTAATTGAATGAAAATAAAATAATTAAAAATAGTGAGTGAAGTAAGAGCTTCATATTTACAAGTATCTGTATCAGGATAGTAGCCTGTCTGTTCCGTTGAAGAGTTGTTAAGTAAATGTAGATACATAATATGCCAAGTCGGCATATACTGATACTGATACTTCTAAATATAAAGCTCTTACTTATATGTAGATACATAATATGCCAAGTCGGCATATTCTGTTATGCTATTTGTAATGTAGTTCTCTTGAACTTCTGGGGGCTATATGTGTTAGTGTGAAATATAAATGGATCATTTTCACTGATCTCCCTAAACTGAGACAAAATTCTCTCTCAGATGTAGCATTTTTACCCGTTTTTCAACATTTTCTTTTTACTTGAATGAATTTCGTTTGGTGAGTTTAAGCAAGGAAGGGAAAATAACATGGGTCAAACGGTGGGTTAATTGGAAGATGAGGATTTTTGAAGAGGGTTATTTTGACTTTTCTATGATAGGGGAATGTACATGAGTACGAGAGGATTCTTCTTCCCATTATCCTTTTGAGAGGAGACATAGATCTTCATCCAAGGAGCCATGAACTATGGGCATTTATACTCTCAATCAGTGTCATCAGAACCAAACTGGATGGTTCAAACCAGTTGAACAAGGAACCGGCAAGTCCACCAGCCAGTTTGGGTTCAACTGCGGTTTGTTCTAAGTCTGCAAAAACTGGATCAAACTCAGTTGGTTCAACCGGTTCTTCTTTTATTAGTGATTTGGACTGATTGAACCCTGGCCCAAAGGTCTCAACCAATCCGGGTTTTATAATATTGTTCTTGATACATGAAACTATTTTCACCATTGCTATTTCTGTTCAACAGGTCTGCTACAAGAGTTCCCTATTAAACTTGAGTTCCATGACTTCCTTCTCTTTTGCTATCCTAACAGTCAACAAGTACATGTATGTTGAGAAACAAGTGCGAGTGTGAATTGTGTTGAGAAACGAGTGTGAGTTCTAAGTCCCACATTTCTTTAAAAAGTGGAGGTTAAGCATTTTACAAGTAAGAGAAACCATGCACCTATCACACCTTAAGGTTTTGGATGAATATGTGGTGTCTCTCTCACTTGTTTGGGTGAGTCTTTGACATTTAGGTGAGTCTTTGACCCAATGTGAATGCTTCCCCCTCATGATGACCCGTCAATGTACTTAAATTTAAGGCAGGATGATAGAAATTGCAACTACTCGTCGTATTATACTATACAAATGAATAGAACTCCTACATATTATCAGCACAAACACTACTGGGTTTAAACTTATTGAGACACTCTGCTAAGCTACAATTTAAACTTATTGAGACAATCTGCTAAGCTACATTGACAATATTGCATCAAGTTAAGAAAAAATGGAGAAAATCTTGTGTAGACTAAAACATTTAAGTTTTGATAAACAACCATCTATACTCCTTAATTATGAACTTTTGTGCTGCATAATTATTTCACATTTAAATTGACAACTTGTCAGTAATTGATTGGTTTGGTCTTCACAACTTGTGTAGACACAAGAATTTCTCAAGAAATACAGAAAACAATAGTAAATTTTTCTGTATGCTATGCGATACCAAAATAGAACAATGGAAATTACAGTATGATACAAATTACTTAAGATATATAATTGCAGTCATTTGTAATTCTGTAAGATTTAAAAGAATATTAATTACCAAGAAGTGCATAATTGCTTTGGGGATAAGATCCTCAACGTTTTTCCTGACAATGTCGTAGTACGATTTCAAAAGCAACTTTGTTACTGTAATTTCAACAGTTTCAGTCTCTGAATTACTATCAGAAGGCCGCAAGATAGGAGGTGGCTACAAAAGCAATGTGTATATGAAAATATATACCTTTGAAACATAATGATAAATATGATGATAAATGTGTCACAAGATATAAACCTCTGTCAAATGGATCATAGTAAATGATTGTTCCATGCTATGAAATGGTTCAGCTTCTTGTTTACTAGCAGCACTCTCTTTTAGAGACTTATCACCACCTCCACCAAAAATGGATGAGATACCCCAACTTGATCCACTAGTGTTTCCTGAAAAAATATCAAGCAATTAAGAATGTGAAAACTTAAATAAACAGAATTATATTTGTTGATGCAAAAACACAAGATCAATAGCAAATAAATGCTAATAGAACGCAATGAAGTGAAACATTAAATAGAAGAAATAAATTACCAGAAGCTGCAATTTTTTCAGTGTCTGATACAGCACGGACAGCCTGTTTTTTTATTAATACCATAATAAAAGAGGTAAGAATAACATGCCAGTTTAGTAGCCCTTACTTTGATTCCCACGAATAAAGATTTGAATAAAATTTTAAGTTTATTAAACAGTATATAGTTACAAACCGAATCAGCAACTCCATTAGCTTGTCTTGCAAGAATAGCCCGAGACTTCACACTTCTTTCAGAGGCTGATCCCTTATCAGATTCCAGAGCATCCTATTCGAGATCAATATAAAAATTTAAATACAAAAGATAGGCAAGCATTAATTAGTTTTGACATCTCAAAACATAGGGCATATTTGGAATTAGAGCCCAGGTATACCTTTGGCCTAGAAACTGATAAGGCAGCCCTAGAAGATTTGGTCTGTTGCACTGCAATTTCTAATGCCTTACTTCCACCAACAAAATTTGGGTGTGAAGTATTTATGTAGTCCATCTGCAGAATTGAGTAATCCAAACTTTAAATAAAAAAGTATGGAGATCGAAATGAAAATTCAATCTAATAAACTGACCATCACAATCGACACCAAGAAAAAGACTGACAGACTCATGGCATGTCAAAAGTTTCAACTTGGCTTACAAGTACACCATCAATTGACAGACTTTCCATTTTATTTCAAAAGAGAATACTAGCCAATAATGCTATAAATTTCACAACAGCAACCCAAGCCATGCTAAACAAACTTAATTTAACCTGTTTGTTTAAAAAAATAATAATAATAACAGCAAATGCATATTTGAGATTTTAAAAAACCCTCCTCTTCTCAAATATCATATGTTTTATTTTTGTAATTGTACATTATTTGTACTTTTATATATCTTTAAGACTTAAGACCCAGACAAAAAACTGAATTAAGCCTTAAGATATACTACGGTTCACCTGCCTCACATGATGTTTTGTTAAAAAAAGACTTGAGGCCCATGATTCACCTCAGCCTATTATTGGTTCATACAGAAAGTCCATTAGGTTATTTCATAGGTAACCCTCAAATTTATGCTTATTTTATTTAACCGAGAGCAAAAAAGGACAGTACAAGACAGCTACTAATCTGCTAAAGTGATAGAGGGCCATGAAACATGCGAATGAAACGCAGAATCCATATATGAACGCGGCCACTAATTGCTTTTGCAACGCTGCTAGGTCATATGTGGGTGCGGCCACCTATTGCGCTGCAACGCTCGATGGCGGTCTTATACACTGCTTGTCAATGGCGGATGGCAGTCCATGGCGGAGAGCCAAAATCCCGCCAAAGTGGCCGCTTTGCAGCGCTGTTATAGCGGATTATGGCGGAAAAACCGCAATATCGGCCGATATTTACCATTGCGGTGAAGCCAAAAACTGCCATGTATGTCCACCATAGCGGGCATGGCGCCGCAATTTGATAACACTAGAGTTAGGCCTAATATAAAAATCTAATATGGGATCAAAGCTTATCAACTGGGTCACCCAATAAGCTCTGATAAATAGAGATAAGGTATGAGAGAAGTTCATAAAGAGCGACGCCTCTCACTAACAAGTCGATTTTGTAAGGGTGAATTTAGTCCAATTATGTGTATACCAACTATACGTTAATGACTAAACAATTTAAGACCATACCTCCATCTCCATGATGTGAGCAATCATGTTCTCTGATGGTTCAAGGCCTTCCCGTAAAAAGTTTCCTATAACTTCATCCATGCGCTTCCGTAAGAAAGGGAACCTCTGCAGTTCAGTCACCATACAGCGATGGCTCATCTGAAGATATGGAAATTTAGTTAGGAGCATAGTTGGTGAGGTGAGACAGTAGAAATGGCAAACATTACAGCTGTGCCCCTACCTTTATTAATTCATCATATATAAATCTGGCACACTGAAGACTTGGATCCAATAGACGAGATATTTGCCTTCGCACTAGGACTTCAAATGGTACCTATTGCAAATAGAGAAGCATGCTCAAGAATAGGATTCAACTTTACATGTGTGGTTAAGATAAATGAATTTAAATCCACAAAGCTTAGAAAAGTATTAACAAATATTAACTGAAAAATTTTCAAAATTCAAATTTCTATTTAAAAAAGAGTAGTGAAACTCACTTCTGGTACAAACAATGCTGATCTTGGCCCAGTTGCGTTTTGTATGGCAGTACGAATATCGTCATCAGTCAAGCCTTCACATGGATCTACCTCCTTCAAGATAGTGTCAAGTTACACAACAAGTCTCAAAAAGTAGCTAAATCAAAAGAAAAAGAACAGAAGCAACACAGCTCCTAGGCTGTGTGGCATTGACTACTTTTTTGCCTATGGCCTAATATTCCACAATATAAAAAAGTTGGCAGGTCAGACATCCACTTACTATAACAAAAGAAATCACTCATTTCAATCCTTGAAATGCAATTAACAGATGTTTGGATTTTTATTAAACAGATAAAAATTGGCAGGTTAGACATTCACTTAGTATAACGTAGAACTAGGCTGGTTGATTGTTTCTAATCAGATACAAATGGGTTACTCTGTAAATTATAGTTGTGTTTTCTATCTCTACATATGATATAAGAATATGTAAAAGTATAACAATACTGCTATATCATATATAAATACAGCAATATATACCTCTAAACTCCGGACAAAGATGGATTGAAAAATATAGTGAACTCGTGCCCCACCAGATAACTCGGATGTAGACATCTCCTCATTCTTTCCCTCAATCATGGAGGAGAATGCTATTTTCAGAAAGAAAAAACATGGAGATAGAAGTTACTGAATTTGGAAAGGTAACAATATGTGAATACCAGTTAACAAATATAAAAGTAACGAAAAGATGAGTTCACAAATAGAAAAGCAGAGTAAGAAAATAAACCAGATTGTAGGGATAGGTACCTTCACAATATTTTGAAAGAATGTTCAGGAGAAGAGCACCCTGACCAGCCTATTGAGGATTAACGATTAAAAAATATAGATAAAATGAGGAAAAAATCTAGCCAAAGTATATAATATGATATTTAATTAAATAAGGAGAATGATTATCCAGTAAATTTAACTAGTAATTGGTTAAGAGGTCATAGGGACATATGCAAGACAGATCCCAGTAATAACACATGCCTTAGACTCCGTGATTTCTCCATAGCTCGCATGCTCTTTTGCAACAGTAACTAGGTTAGTGCTTATATGTGCTCTCAGCCCAGGTAGCACAGCTTTGATATGTTGTGCTAGAATCTGCAATGTGATGGACAGGCAATACATGGCATGCATCAGTCTAGAAACCACAAACTTAACCGATTTCATAATGATTCACTCTTTTTAAAATTACATGAATTTAGATCTTTTAACTGTGTTTTTCCAAGAATGATTTTAACAGTTTTCCCATCTCCCATCCCATGTTGATATGGCATTTTGTTTAAGACAGTTAAAACTTGGCCATATTCTCTTTAGACTCTTTCAATCTCAAACAAAATCAAGCCACAAATAAATACTCTGATAAAGTTCATTATTTCATGACACCCGAATAAAAAACCTCATTACTCTCCAACTTCAAAGGATGATACAAATTATTGAAAGCAATAATACTAAGGATTTAATTCATATTTCCCTTGACGGTGTAAAGATTTTTTACACGGTCTGTTAATCATAACCATTCGATCATTAAAAAAGTTTAACTTTCATCATATATAACTTATAAGTCATACAAATGATAGGTTGTTATTGATTCTCGTCATTTAAAAATTTGTACACTGACATTGTATGCTAGCTAATCTCAAACTACAAAGCAAATAAACAATCAGCATTAGAAGTGAAGCAACTAATCTATTTCCTTGAATTGAAAGCTCACTACTAAGGAGGAAGCTTTTGCAAGCTTTTATATTGAGGAAAAACCAATATATAGTGTGTCAAATATATAAGGCAAAAACGAGAAGAGTAAGAGGTGCTTTGCTCTATATGGATAAAGGAACGCTGAAAATCCTAATTATTTCCAGCATTTTAAACAGTAAAATGTATTTAAAGAGTATTTTAAATGGCATAAAGGCTCTACCTGGTTTAACTTTTTTGCTAGTTGAGGTATACCACAACTATCTGCTAGACCGTTGTAAACCTATGAAGAACAAATGGATAAAATCTGTATAGAGTATATAATAAGTAAAAGGCTTGAAAACAACTATGCTTAGAAATTTCCTTACAGGACGGCTGCGGAAAAATTTCTCTTCAGCAACAAGAGCATCTTTTATACTTCGGTTCATTTGAATATCCTAATTTTACCAAACAAGAGAAACCACATTTCAGTATAACATATTGACCTGAACACTATTCAAGCAATTAGCATATGCATCTTTGTTTACAAAATGTCCTTCCATATTGCATGTATATTGAAAAGAAAAAAAAATCTAGCTAAACATCTAACAGAATATATGCGATAGTTAAATTAGTCAAACAACATCTTCGTCACAGTACGATAATATCATTACCTCCTGACTACGATTTACAACACCAACATAGCCAAGTCGGAGGGGAATAACTTTTCCTTGTAACAGATTTCGAGCATCGGTACCTCTGTCCATGATATCCAACTTCATAGCAAAAAATATGTGCCTAACACTGTCAGAATGACTCAACAGCATATAACAAAATCCACAAAGATACACATATATTATAATGTTATAAGAGTATACTGAACCTTTGTAATTACGCCAATCGTTCTATTACCTGCATCATATATATGACCATTTAAACAAATTAAAGAGATGCAAAAGAACATTGAAAGCTTTCAGAATATGGAAGCAAAAGCATACCCTCGGGATCAGCCACTCCTGCCATCTGAAGAGCATCTGAATTAGCCAAGTCTGAATTTGCCGGTGTGACAGCTAGAATAAGACAGGAGGGCTCTTTGATATATGACATGATCATTGTTCTGATCCGGGCTTCAATATCAGAAGGCTGATCCCCAACAGGAACCTTTGTAATACCTGGGAGATCTACAAGTGTCATGTCCAAAACATTTGGTGAAACAATCTTCAAACGGATCTGCCTGTCTGAGACGCCCTTGTTTTCTCCCGCTTCCCTATCAGTTTCAGCCTGTAAAAAGATGATAATGATATGAGTCAATACTGAGATATAAAGGATTAAACAAGTACATAGCATAACTGGTCAGAAGATTGTTATCAAGAGTGTAATATAATCACATGATATGTAGATGCAAATAAGAAAATCTGAAACTCAACTACTTCTGAGATACAAAAAATTTAAAATGATTTCAAACGGATTATGAATCTATAACCAAGTCAGTAACTACCTGTGACTATTGTTTTAATGTTGATGGTACATTGAAAGCTGCAGTAACAAATGAGAAAACAGTATACCTCAAAGCTTATCGACTATTTTTATTGTACTACAATTCACTAATGTCTGAGGATGGAGTCTCTAAATACCAATTTGTTTCACTCTACGTTGGACCACTTGAATGCCATGCATACATATAATGAACTTCAAATATATGGACATGACCTTTGAGGATCACTAGTGGATTGCATCTTCAAATATAATGAATGAATGGGGAAAATAAGTAGTTTTCTTCTCTAGATTGAGAAAACTACCATCATGGTTGAAAGGCAAGGGTTGTCCTTAATTAATGATAAAAGTGACATAAAGGTTTTTTCATTCCACTCAGATGGAGAGAGGCCCAATTAACAATACAATATGAACATTAGTGTGCAACAGCCTAATATGCAGCAAACAGTAAAGGCTGGCTTGGCAGAGAGTCTTGGAATATGGGCAATGGCTGCAGTTCTACTGGGTAATATCACCCAAGTCTAGTTTGGATTTCAAGAATCCACCATTGAAAATAAGACAAATCCCATCCTTCCGTGGACACCATGGAGGGTGACCGATAGCATACCTCCTTTTAGCATATTTCACTGAAAATGCCGATCCATCTTGCCCACTCGTACATGGGCATCATCCCTTGCAAAAACAGGAATGACATTGTTGCCTACTAAGAACTCGATGCTTGAGATGAGATGTGATTTGATGGTGAAGGGTTTCTCTAGTCCTCCTTCAATTAGTGCAGTATCTCTTGCACCATTGCTTGCGTCTATGTTTCAATTTGTGATTCCATCAACAACCATTGCCCCACTTGCTCTTTCCCTTGTGATCTCAACTTTGGCAATTTCCTTTACATGGCCTCCATTCTTGTGGCCACTATGGAATGCTTACGGTACTGGAGCTTTGGTACAGTTAAGATCCCATAATGGGCCTCTATGATTCAAGTGTTCAATCTTGAGCCTGAGAGAGGGATAATACTCGTCTTTTGAGCTAAGTTTTGGAGTTCAATTCAGCCTAAAGCCCAAATTCTAAGACTAGTGATTGGCACAAAACAAAATGGACGGATAATTTTATTCAGTGTGGACCCAATGTAATGTCAATCAATGATTGGGTTGGAGAAGATTAGAAGAATACGGGGACTTAGCCTATTAGAGAACCGTAACCTTTCTTTACTCATCAGGGCTTCAAAACAGTCCTCTTCTCTCCTGCCCACTACTCCCTATGTAGCTTTGGTATAACTAACTGCTAACTGTTGATTGAATCATTCTCTTTTCTGCCAACTACTCCCTATATAGCTTCACCATTACTAACTGTTGATTGAATTATTCTCTTTTCTACAACATTCAGTTATTTGAGGTGTTGTTGTCCTCTGCTGATATCTTTAGACTATACTAACCTAGTGTGTGTAGACCCTCTTAATCATTAGCTTGCTATCACAAACCTTTATCAAACAAGCAGGTAGGTAAGGTTTTAAACTAGATGATCACCACATACCTTCCTAACATGCATGTAACTTTGACTGAATAATTAATCTTCTCCAAGGTTATGAATTAAATGACCACTGCCTACTCGTGCATCATGATAACTAAGAAAACTTCAGATTAGATGTCATGGGGAGGCATTTGAGGAGGGGCACGTCAGATAGGCAATACTATTTGAGGTAAGAAACTACTTCAAGAAGGCTAAAATACCTAAGAATTCAAATATTCCACTTCATAGATAGTATACAGGTCTGCTCATTCACTGAATCATCTCATGTATTTCCCTATTCCTACTGCTGGGCATATCAAGGACTAAAAACGTAAAAATTGTCAATAAGGAAAATATGAGATTGACACTGAAAGCAGAAAATACCTAAACTGTTAATAAGTTCATCAATTTTCCTCATGTGTCACATGTTCTTTCTAAAACAAGATTTCATGTGTTGAAGAAAAAATTTTATGTATTCCCCGTGTTTGCTTCATGTATCACCAAGAAATCGAACTCAGGTTCTTTGACCTTAACAACTCTTTAACCACTTGAGTCCAATAACTTGGTTTTACTACTTCTTAAACTACTCCAATAAAGTTTTCATAACTATATAACTTTAGAATTAAATGTATAAAGATTATCTCTTTTGTAATTCAAATAATTTGCCAAACTAGAAGGGAAATAATATATTAAATACAGTACGCAACATTAAAGATTGCACAGTTCCATTTCTAGCTAAGTGAGCAAAAGCAATCAAGAAACAAAGTAAAATAAATAGATGATGCAAAATGCGAAAGTATTACCTGAATTTCCCTACGAATATCAGAGAAATCATAAAACCTCTTCCCGGGCAAATGGAGGAACTCGCCGTATTCATCTGACGGTTCAGAACTCCGAACGAGCTGAAGAACAAGAGGTCGTCTGGTACAGATTTCGTTACCACGCGGAAGAAAGTCACGGCCGACGAGAGCTTCAAGAACGCTAGACTTGCCGCTGCTCTGACTGCCGACAACCGCCACTTGGGGTAAGTTGATTGCCGATTGGGTTCCGACGCGGGAGAAAATGTCTTGAAGTCGGTTTACCAAAGAGATCACGCCGGAGCCGATAGGAACGGGAGCGGAGGATGAAGAAGGAGGAGGAGGAGATGTGACGGTGTCGTCCACCATGATTGGATCGGTGGAGAAAGTTGAACCCTAGTTAGGGTTTTGAAATGTAACGGTTTGATTGGAGAGAGAGAGAGAGAGAGAGAGAGAGAGAGAGAGAGAGAGAGAGAGAGAGAGAGAGAGAGAGAGAGAGAGAGAGAGGTGGAGATTCGAACTCGGTGTACTGTACTCTCTTTTTTGAATGTTGCGTTGTGTTGTGTGGAGAATCTTGATTTTGATTTTGAAATGAAGAGATGTTAATCACACGTTTGTAACGCTTCTACTGTTTGCTTGTGTTATTAGTACTATCTAACGGAAGGAAAATAGATTGACGAAGGGGCAACTCACGCTGTCACATTTTACTCCAGCTTAGACAACACTTTTTTTAAAGTGAATCTTTATAAGTTGTTAACGTGACATTTTCGATTAATATCATTATTCAAATAAGTGATTTCGAGTATGTTTAGATTGGTTGGATGGAATGAAATGGAGTGAAGTGGTAATGTGATTCTATTGTTTGGATTTATAAATAATGGAACATAACCTTAGAAAAATATGGTATTTTCAATTCAGCATTAAACTATCAAAGCGACAAAAGAAATACCAAATAGTTGTCAATAATCCAGCATTAAACTCGGAAAATCTTCTCAATCACTTTCAATCACTTCTGCGCACTATTTCTCAATCATTCCTTCCTGCCATATCTACAACCACCAACAAGGTTAGAAGGAAACAACTCATCGATAGCGTTCTCACACTATCGAGTGACAGGGGATTAACAACATAAACACTTGGTCGGTCGGATTAACAACATAAACACTTGACACTTGGCCAGTCGGATTAACAACATAAACACTTGACACTTGGTCGGACGGGCTGACCTGTACCCCAAAAATATCAAGGCAAAATAACACAAAAATCAGAGTGAATAAATAAATCTCATTAAAAAACCACTAAAAGGGCGTACATTTCTCAATGTCATCAAAATAGGTCCATACTCCGTAACTACGGGTTTTTCCCAAAGTACATCAAAACATCATAAACAGCGGAACTCAAAGCATAAATCAAAGTTTTCCTCAAAAAGGGAAATTAATCAAAATGCATATCAGTGCAAGACCCTCTAGGCTGACCAAAAGACTAAAACACTCAAAAACTTCAGAACTAACTCCTCGTCGGCGTCCACGGCTAAACTGGATCATTTGCACGTTACCCACGTAGAAGTAACATTCAAACAGGCAGGGTGAGTAAAACAATTCATAATAATCAATGTATAACAATTAATGTATAAACGGCATCATAATCATATTCAACACATTCATATCTTCAAATATGCCTCAAAGGCCACAATGTCATAATTTATACAAAAGACTCATAAATGCAATGCAACACAACTCAATGCATGTGGTACCAATCATCACACCGCGATGGACACTGGGTCATCAACCCTCCATAGATCCCCATCAATAGGATCGATTCTACTAGAGAATCGGAGCACATCAAAACACTTCGCATTCACACAATGGGATTGAAGTCAAAGTAATCGAGGTCCTGAACCGAAGTTCAGATGCACATGAATGCATGATGCACACGTCACAATAATAATCCTCACAATACAGCATATGGTGCATCATCATTCATCATACTCATCATCATCACACAAAATTATCATATCTCATGTTATCACATAGTTCATCAAATCATGGCAATTTCATCATATTAACTCAATCGATACATCATAGAAAACTATCGTAACATCATGTACACATCACCCAAAACTCACTGACACTGTCATACTTGGGGTAATCCATCCCAGAAATCCCAGAATTACAGGCATCGCTGTAAAACGATCAAATTTCGTGAACTCTGCTACGTTCGCTGGCTTGCTTGCTAGGCGAGTCGGTAGCGAGTCTTCGCTGGCTTGCTCGCTAGGCGAGTCTGTGGCGAGCCTTCGCTGGCTTGTTCGCTAGGCGAACAGAGCGATGACAACAAAAACCTGTTACGACCATAATTGATTCTTGCCCAAATACTCATACGATTCACTTACCCAATGCCCCCAAAACATCCTTAAAACATCCCTACGGTCATACGGTGATAACGGCACAAAATCTATGGTTTATTAGGCCAATCTGGCAACATTTGCACTGCCTAAATCCCTATTTTCCTGCAATTTCTCTAAGTGCATCAGAGTTACTCACATCTGAACATTCCTATTCCTACTGGGTCAAACATATAACGATCTAAGGTTTTGGCCACGAAGGCCTAAGGTTTCCCTTCTCATATCAATATCTAGTGTTACATACCATTACCCCTAACCTCAAAGCCTTATCATCAAATTCCCTATTTTCCCACTGCCAACCCAGAATACCTTAAATCATAAATCAACCATAAACACATCTAAAGGCATACATAGAAAATCATGAACAGCGATACTCCTCATACCTTAGTCGATTCGCAACTTTCATGATTAACTTTGAGATCTTCTGCCTCCAACCTTTCCTTCAGAGCTTTGGCCACCAAACTTTCACGGTTAACACAAATGAATTCAAATTCCCTTCAGAACTCAATTTTGTCCAACCTAGTCTTGGGCCTCACAAATTGGGCTTTCACGGTTAACATATTCCGATCAAATTTGGGGTGTTACAACTCTCCCTCACTTAAAATAATTTTCGTCCTCGAAAATTACCTGCAGAAAACAGAGTCGGATACGACTCCTTCATCTGATCTTCACGTTCCCAAGTTCAACTTTCTCCAGCTGGTCCTCCCCACAATACCTTCACCAAGGCGACCTCTTTACCTCATAGCTGTTTTGCTTCTCGTTCGTCAATCTGAACAGGTAACACCTCAACAGTTAAATCATCTCGCACTTGTACATCATCCATCTGAATCACATGCGATGGATCTGGAATGTACTTCCTCAACTGAGACACATGAAACAGATCATGCAAATTGGCGAGCGACGACAGTAAAGCAATCCGATAGGCTACTTCCCTCACCTTCTGCGTAATCTGATACGGACCAACAAAATGCGATGTGAGCTTTCGAGACTTCAAAGCTCGACCAACACCAGTTACCAGCGTAACTCTTAGAAACACATGATCTCCCTCTTGGAATTCAAGTGCTTTCCTCCTCTTATCATGGTAACTCTTCTGACGACTCTGCGACGCTTTCATCTTTTCACGGATCATCTTGATCTTTTCAGTCGTCTCTTGCACAATTTCAGGTCCGAACACAACACTCTCGCCTGATTCATACCAACACAAAGGAGTCTTACACCTCCTACCATACAAGGCCTCATATGGTGACAAAATATAAGTGGAGATGGATTATCGCTTTAGTGAAGGAAGTAACATTATCCTTGATTGCTTCTCATTTTTTGACCCCGAGAACTCTTTCTTCAAGTTTGATGTTGATAAGCTTGCTCGTCTTGCTGATATTTATGATGCATACTTTTCTGATGATGATCGTGGAACAATAAGGGATCAACTTAAATTTATGTTCTTCAAGTGAAAAGAAATGTTTTATTTTCCACTTGTGAAGATGTTCAAATTTTGGCTATGAAGATGGTTCAAACTGAGAAACATTTGGTATTTCCATTGGTTTACAAACTTATTTTGATATTATCGATGTCGGCAGCATCCGTTGAAAGAGCTTTTCTAGCAATGAAGATTATCAAGTATAAATTGCACAATAAGATCAATGACGTGTGGTTCAATGACTTGATGGTATGTTACATCAAGCGAGAGATATTCAAGCCACTGGATGATATTGATAGTATTTGAATATTCACCGTAAAGAAGTCTCGGAAAGAGCATTTGCTTCATTATTTTATTTAACACGCTATTGTAAGGTTATGCTTCATGATCTCTTTCATCTCTTTTATTTTAGGAAATTTATATATTATAATGTGAATTTGCGGTCTTAATTTTTTTTGCCCAAGCTATATAATTTTTCTGGCTCTGCCACTGGTTGTCTACACGATTATTGAATATTATTCAATTTGGTACGATATAAAATGTATTTAAATATACATATAAAATTGAGTTACTTAATGGTAAAATGAACAATGATCATTTATACCCAATTGTATTAAATATATTGAATTTGTGAGATGGAGAATAAAAAAATTTGATCTTTAAAAAATAAAGATTTTGTCTTTCAAATAAAGACAATTGTTGATTAAAAGTAAAACATATATAGGATTGATCGTGAGTCGTGAAATGAGAAGTTAGTTATTTGCACGGGTATTGAGTATTATCCAATTTGATAAAATAATATATTGATTTTATAAGTATGAATTATTTTTTAATGAATATGAATTATGTCTTAATAAATCAAATAGTTGTATTTTTTTTGTGTGAGTAAATTGTATTTTGAATACCCAATATTATCACATATTTCTCTTCATTATATTATAAAGTGGTTAATTTTTATTTATTTATGCTTAGAAAAAATAAAAAGGGAAAGAGAAATGAGAAAGAGAAAAAGTTAAAATGAAAGTGAGAAAATGTGAAAAAATGAAATGTAAGAGAAATTTAAAAGTTGAAAAGTAGTTTTGCCACTTGTCAAATTGTGCTTGATTTAGAAAGGGAATAATTGATTTAGAAATGATATTTACACCAAAGGAGAATATCATATATACCCAATTGTATTAAATATATTGGATTTGTGAGATGGAGAATGAAAAAAAAAATGATATTTGAAAAATAAGGATTTTGTCTTTTAAATAAAGACAATTATTAATTAAAAATAAAACATATATTGGATTGATCATGAGTGATGAAATGAGAAGTTAGTTATTTGCACGGGTATTGAATATTATCCAATTCAATACAATAATATGTTAATTTTATAACTATTAATTATTTTTTAATTAATATGAATTATGTATTAATAACAATCAAATAATTGTATTTTTTTGTGTGTGAGTAAATTGTATTCTGAATATCCAACATTATCACATGTTTCTCTTAATTATATTATAAAGTGGTTAAATTTTATTTGTTTATGTTTAGAAAAAATAAAAAGGGGAGGAAAAAAAGTTAAAATAAAAGTGAGAAAGTATGGGAAAATGAAACCTAAGAGAAATTTGAAATTTGAAAAGTAATTTTATCACTTGTCAAGTTGTGGTTGATTTAGAAAGGGAATAATTGATTCATTAGATAATTACCAAATAGTCTTTAATGTAGTTTAAATAATATTAACACTAAATAACATGTTAGGGCTTTTGATAGTATGTTATTTTAATGGATAGATAGTTGATAGTTGATTCATAACATCTTATCAAAACAGTCCCAAAATTTTGTTTTCTGCTAGTCTTACATCATATTCAATAATTATTTAAAAAAACTAAACGGAGTAATCAACCAATTGAATATGTTTTGAAAAGCTTAGAGAGTCTATTTAAGACTGTGATTTTTATTTTAGAACTTAAAATCCCAATTAGTAGAGTTTAATCAAACAATAGAACTAGTACAGGCACCTGACAAAATGTTTCGTTGGAGTTGTAACTAGTATTTCTCCTACTGAACATGGTGGAATGAAATGCTTATTAAGTTTAATATGTATGAAATTTTGTCTATTTTCTTATGATATAAGGTTTACTCTTAAAGGACTTGTGCAGACTGAGTTGCATACAAACTACTAACAGCATGTCAAATAGTTGTGCTGTAGAGTTTTCAAAACATTAATTGAACTTGCAATTCAGTTTTCTAGCCTTTCCCACAACAGAATTGATCCAGATCGAAGTCTATCTCGTTTTAAATCTTGTATAGTTTCTAATGGTATTAGTTTCATTCTTAGAAAATCTAGGTAACTAAAGTTATAGGCAAATGATTGATCGGGTGTACTAACCGCAAGTTGCGTAAATTATTTGACATATGGTAACAACATTACTTAAACACCTATTATCACGGCTAATCCTTCTATATCATTAGTCCGACATCTAACTTCTCAAATTAAGTACACTTATGTTAAATTTCAATACTAAACTCACTTCATGTACACAATTACTATTTTTCACAACGATATTCATATAAACAAGGATATACCATATTCACAACATCATTCACACGTATAAATATCATGAGACATTATCATAATCACGACATCGTATACACATTTAAATCTCATGAATTCAATACCCTAAAAAAGATCTCTGTCTTAACTTTCCAACACAACTGAACGCATGTCCGGAAAAGGATGCATATATAAACTTATGGGGCTAGTGCCCCACCAAATATATTTTTTTCATTAAACATTATATATAAGATTTCTCTCATTATATAAAAATTGAAATATCTTTCCCCATACGATTTCTTCATTTTTGCCTAAACTCCCCTATCATATCTCCTATTTTATTTAGACTTAATAACAATCTAATAATTATATTATTTTTATTTCATTAAACACTATTCTAAAATAACTATTTTTTTTTATAAACAATTACCAAATTAATATTTAGTTATTTTTTTCTAAGTTCTCATTATCATTTTGATCAATTAAATTATATGTTAAGTTTTAGTCTCATTATATAGCCCAATATAAACTTATTTTAATAGGTAGTATCAACTTTGTTGATGAAAAAACAATATATTTAAGTATATTTTTTAGAGAGGTGAAAAGTTATATGTTTATAAAAATCAATAACTTATTTAATTCATTTAATTTTTTTGACAAACTAAAATGCATGGTAACATTTATAGTATAATTTTAATAAAATATTTATCTAAAAATAATTTCTTTAACGTCATTCTTTGACTCATTCAAACATACATTTTTTTTTTAATTTTACTATTGACTCATACAATTTAATAATTGTATTTGTTTTTATTTAAAAAATTCCTCAATTTCTTACCCCCATTAAGCAAAATCTCTAGATCTGCTGCTGCACACGTCAAACAGATTTATGAAACTCAAGTTATAGGTGAAACAAGATGACCAATACTCAACTATATTTTTTGTGATTTACTCGACTTATTTCGATTTATTGCGACTTATTGTGACTTATTCGACTTATTTTAACTTATTAGATTTATTTTAACTTATTTTAAAATGTAACAATTCCAATTTTCTCCGTTAAAGTTTGAGAATTTTGTTATTACTATTGAACCCTCTTCTTTAACCTACTCTGATTCCAAATCAACAAACCCCTCAAATTACTAACCACCACTAGCGGTAACACTTTAACCCATTAACATTCCTACTCATATCCCTAATTTATGAAATTGATCACTCATGCACATGAACCAACAGCTTAATCTATACCAACAAATTAATAGGAGAAATAATCAACAATTCAACTGAGAACTCAATAAACATCAACAATGAAATTTTAATACATATAATATCAATTCAACCAAAAACTCTATAAACATCAACGATACATATAATATCAATTACTCGTATCAATTCAATAGAGAACTCTATAAATATCAACGATAGAATTTAATATGGTGATAATGTGGTGGCTAAATATGGTGATCACCTAAATGAATCTGCACCAGACAACAATGTTGTACCACCTCTTGGAGAAGATGATAATTTCGACAAACTTGATGACAATGAAGATTCAACTGGAGGTCCAACCATTTCTAAAAGGAGAAGTCAAATGTTATCTCTGAGGATTCCAAGGATTCTAAAGAATCTGAAGATTATGGGGACTTAGAGGACACCTTCTTCAAAAATCATGGAAACCCCGAGGATGTGATACCTAGATCTAAGGAAGAAGCTTGGAATAACACAAATGCCTTGGGTGCCACACTACAACCTAGTATAACCATGTCACTTGGGTTTGCGACCGTCACTCGTCCTTCTATCAAAGACTTTTCATCTAACACTTCCCTCAGTCGAGAATAGATCATTGTTATTAAAGCGCAGAATCATGTCGAGGCTTTAAGAAGGTTGGTTAAAAGTCATGGAGAAAGTGATGGCAGTCATTTCTTAAGTTATTTTGTTGCTGATAATAATCTTATTGAAGACTTCATGCGTCTATTGATTGAACAACTAAAGGCTTATGCCCTTGGGGACGACCTTTTACAAATCCTTGAACAATATTCCTCTACAGGGTCCAACATCAGAAGACTACTGAAAAAACTCAGTGGTCAAAATTTGTCTGAGTCTGCAGTTTCTCTTATGCTGGACTTTGAACCACTCTTCAATCAAATTTGTCAAT